TGACCATCAGGCAGCTCATAGCTCTTCTCCAGGGAGGAGGAAGAGGCAGCAGTGGCCATCTCCTGCTCGAAGTCCAGGGCGACATAGCACAGCTTTTCCTTTATGTCACGGACAATCTCCCTTTCAGCTGTTGTAGTGAAGCTGTAGCCTCTTTCTGTCAGGATCTTCATGAGGTAGTCTGTCAGGTCACGGCCAGCCAAGTCCAGGCGCAGGATGGCATGGGGCAGAGCATACCCCTCGTAGATGGGCACAGTATGGGTGACACCATCCCCAGAGTCCATAACGATACCAGTGGTACGGCCAGAGGCATACAGGGACAGCACAGCCTGGATGGCAACGTACATGGCTGGGGTGTTGAAGGTCTCAAACATGATCTGGAAGAAAGAAGAAACAGTTCAGCATGGAACAACAAGCTGGGTCACTCACACCTGTGTTAGAACATGCATGTTGACATGCAAAAACTGATGTGTGAAAGAAAAGCAAAGAACGCAGGCAGAAAACACAAATGAAAGAAACCTGAGACGTCAAGGAGGAAATGCCAGGAGTAGAGAACCCTGAAAACATTGGGAGAAAAAAAACTCAGGTTTAAGATGCCATAACAAAAGAGGGTTTGTGAAGATGGAGGTAAGCGGCGGCTGCTGCCCAAGGAAGCGTACCTGTGTCATCTTCTCTCTGTTGGCCTTGGGGTTCAGAGGAGCCTCTGTGAGCAGGACAGGGTGCTCCTCGGGAGCCACACGGAGCTCATTGTAGAAGGTGTGATGCCAAATTTTCTCCATGTCGTCCCAGTTAGTGACAATACCGTGCTCAATGGGGTACTTCAGGGTGAGGATTCCTCTCTTGCTCTGGGCCTCATCACCTACGTAGCTGTCCTTCTGCCCCATGCCCACCATGACGCCCTAGGAAGGGACGCATGAGTCAGCTCCGCGCACTGCAGCACCGCCCCAGGCACACCCACTCCGGGCAGGGCCCTCCCAGCTTACCTGGTGTCGGGGGCGCCCAACAATGGAGGGGAACACAGCACGGGGAGCATCGTCCCCTGCAAAGCCAGCTTTGCACATGCCGGAGCCATTGTCGATGACGAGCGCTGCAATTTCTTCTTCCATTTTGAA